GGGGCCACTCGGCACTGCGTACAAGGCTGAGATTCCACTCACCTGCAGTCAGCAGCTCCAGGAGCAGCAGAGGAGCCCTGAGCAGCATCTCTGGGGCCATCGCTGGTCCCCCTACGGTGGCCCCAGAGGTGCCCTCTGCCAGCCACCTGAGTCTGTCTCTGGCTTCCTCTGGGCCCTTCTCTCTGTGTCTCTGCCTCCTGCTTTTCTTCTTGTCTCTCCGTCACTCTCCTGCCTCTCTCTCTGTTTTCCTCTCCCCCTGTGTCTATCGCTGCCTCACTGTCAGTCTCAATCTCTAGGTCCCTTTCTCTGTCTCTTTAAAAACCATTTTTTCTTTTTTTAGAGACAGAGTCTAGCTATGTTGGGCAGGTTGGTCTTGAACTCAGCCTCAAGCCGTCCTCCTGCCTGGGCCTCCTCAAGTGCTGGGATTACAAGCATGAGCCACCTCGCCCAGCCTGTCTCTTTATCTTTCCACGTTTCTCTCCCCGTCTAAGGTGTTTTTCTCCCCCTTCGTCTCTGTCTTTTCCTGTCTCTGTCTCTCTCTGAGTCTCTGTCTTCTCTCCTGCCACCCCTCACCCCTGCTTCTTGTCTCACTACTCACGGCCCCTCAAGAAGGACCCATGGCCCAGAGTCCAACAGGCCTCAGGAGCCCAGGAGAGTGATGAGGCTGATGCAGGCACTGGCAGAGTCAGCTCTGCTCTCTGACCCAGTGTGAGCTCATCCTCAGAGTGCAGCCTCCCCCACGTGCCCTCCAGAGCTCCCAGCTCCAGCCTCTGTCCTGCAGGCTCCTCCCATCCGAGCTGGAGCGGGAAATCCCCTGTCAGCACATGCCAGGCACATTCCTCGGTGCCTCCCCAGCCTCCATGACCCCAAGTCCTGGCTTAGGCTGGGAAAATGGGAGAGGTCAGATTTGGGTGGTCTCCCAGCTTGGCAGGGGAGCAGCCAGCTGGGTTCTCAGCTCTTCCCTGCCTTGATACAAGACCTTGGCAAGTCCCTTTCTTCCTTTCTTTCTTTCTATTTTTTTTTTTTTTTTTTCTTGAGATAGTCTTGCTCTGTTGCTCAGGCTGGAGTTCAGTGGTATGATCTTGGCTGACTGCAACTTCCACCTCCCGTGGCTTGAACCTCCCAGGTTCAAGCAATTCTCCTGCCTCAGCCTCCTGAATAGCTGGGATTACAGGCATATGCCACCATGCCCAGCTAATTTTTGTATTTTTAGTAGAGACGGGATTTCACCATGTTGTCCAGGCTGGTCTGGAACTCCTGACCTCAGGTGATCTGCCCACCTCAGCCTCCCAAAGTGCTGGGATGACAGGCGTGAGCCACCATGCCCAGCCTCCTTTCCTTTCTTGAGTAGACATCAGTGCTTCAATGACGTCAGGGATCTCTGCTGGGGAGTATGCAAGAATGAGTGTGAGAGGCTGGGAGCGTGTGGGAGAGGGAAAGTAACCGTGTGTGCACAGGGGCGTGAGAGTGGGGAAGGTGAGAGTGAATCGTGATCTGTAATAAGCACGTGGAGATCGTGTGTGTGTGACAGTGTCTCGAGTGGGAGTGCACGGGGTGTGGGTAGGAGTAAGAGGCAGAGTCCAAGTCTGCCAGCCCGCAGTGTGGGTGCCCTTTGGCAAGGACTGTGTGAGCTTTCTTCTGTCTCTTTTTCTTTTTTTTTTTTTGAGACGGAGTTTCGCTCTTGTTACCCAGGCTGGAGTGCAATGGCGCGATCTCAGCTCACCGCAACCTCCGCCTCCTGGGCTCAGGCAATTCTCCTGCCTCAGCCTCCTAAGTAGCTGGGATTACAGGCACGCACCACCATGCCCAGCTAACTTTTTGTATTTTTAGTAGAGACGGGGTTTCACCTTGTTGACCAGGATGGTCTCGATCTCTCGACCTCGTGATCCACCCGCCTCGGCCTCCCAAAGTGCTGGGATTACAGGCTTGAGCCACCGCGCCCGGCCTTCTGTCTCTTTTTCTTGCCCTCTCCCCCATCTCTTCTTTTCATATATATATATATATATCCCTTCCTCTGTCCATCTTGATTTATCTTTCATTTTTTTTCTTTTCCTTTTTTTTTTTTTTTTTTTTGTAGAGACAGGGTTTCACTCTGTTGGCCAGTCTGGTCTTGAACTCCTGACCTCATGATCCGCCCACCTCAGCCTCCAAAAGTGCTGGAATTACAGGCATGAGCCGCCGTGCCTGGCCTATCTTTCTTTCTTTTGAGATGGGGTCTTGGTCTGTTGCCCAGGCTGGAGGGCAGTGGCATGATCATGGCTCACTGCAGCCTCAACTTAATGGGCTCAAGTGATTCTCCTGCCTCAGCTTCCTGAGTAGCTGGGACTACAGGTGCACACCACCACTTTGGCTAATTAAAAATATATATATATTGTAGAGACAGAGTCTTGCTCTGTTGCCCAGGCTGGAGTGCAGTGGTGTGATCATGGCTCACTGCAGCCTCGACCTCCTGGGCTCAAGTGTTCTTTCCTCCTTAGCCTCCTGAGTATCTGGGACTACATGTCCCAATCACCACTCTGGCTAATTTTTTAAACGTTTTTGTAGAGACAGGATCTTGCTGTGTTGCCCAGGGTGGTCTGGAACTCCTGGGCTCAAGCAATCCTCCCATCTCTGCCTCTCAAAGTACTGGGATTACAGGCATAAGCCACTGCACCCTGCCCTTGGCTTGTCTTTCTGTCCTTTATTTTTATTTATTTATTTATTTTGAGGCGGAGTTTTGCTCTTGTTGCCCAGGCTGGAGTGCAATGATGCAATCTCAGCTCACTGCAACCTCCGCCTCCTGGGTTCAAGCAATTCTACTGCCTCAGCCTCTTGAGTAGCTAGGATTACAGGCATTTGCCACTATGCCCAGCTAATTTTTTTGTGTTTTTAGTAGAGACGGGGTTTCACCATGTTGGTCAGGCTGGTCTTGAACTCCTGACTGCAGGTGATCTGCCTGCCTTGGCCTCCCAAAGTGCTGAGACTACAGGCGTGAGCCATCACGCCTGGCCAATTTATCTTTCTATCTTTCTCCATCTGTTTGAAACTCTCTGTATTAAGTGGTTAAATCTCAGTCACTATTTCACTGTGTCTCTCTGTCTCTACATGTCTCTGTTCTTCTGTTTCTCTGTCTGTTCTCACCTCTGTCACTCCCCTCACCCCAAACTCTGTCTCACACACACCAGGAACTCCATAAATATTTGTTCTCAGCCACACTGATCGCTCCTCTTTCTCTTACATGTCTCTCTGTCTCCAAGTGGCTCTGCTCATCACATCCCTGAATTGTATAACCATATGCTGGTGGGCTTGCCCTCCCTGCATGCACATACACTCGCCTCGGATAAGCTTCTTCTGCCTGCTTATCTCCTGCAGGAATTGGAAATGCTGGCTTTCTCTCTGCCTCCCTGAGATCCCCCGCCTCATCTCATTCCCCAGGAAGCAGATGAAGCATCTGGCTTGAGCCCCCAGCTTCATCCTTGATGCTGCCCTTCCCTCTTCCCTCACATGCTCGACTTCTTGCCCTCCTCCCACCTCCCCTCTCCCAACTGCCCCTTACACCCCTGGGAAATGGGCTGGATGCCCAGCTGAGCTGTGGGGGCGTCTCTGTCCTGGGGGCCCTCGCCAGATGGTGTCCCTAGGGGCCAGAATGTGGAGCTGTCCCTTGCTGAAACCTTTAATTAGCTCAAACCTTCCACCCTCCACCTTGGCTGTTTTCCTCCTCCAAATGCTCCTGGGACCTTGGGTTCTCCATTTTTCCATGCCCGGAGCCCTAGAGGGCCAGGAAGGGGAAGCGGTGTCAAGTGTCTGGAAAAACAGCCCCACTACTTGGGTTCCTCCCCAGGACTCAGGAGTTCTGGCCCCATGTTCGTCCGATTTCAAAAGCCAGGCACTAGATATGCCACATAGAAGCCAGGAGTGCAGGCCTCCAGATCCCTCCCTTCTCAGACCCTGGAATCTCAGTCCCTTCTCTCCAAGGACTTAGGAATTTGGGCCTCTGATCCTTCTGCCCACCCTACCAGCCCCCATGCCTCCTCCTCCTCCTCCACACACACACACACACACACACACACACACACACACAGAGGACTTAGGACAGATGTTCACTGTCTGATTTTCAAATCCTCCTGGGCCTGTGTGGGGGTGGGGAGAGATTGGTGGTTAAATCCACTGACTCTAAGACTTAAGACCAGATATTCTGACCCCTGTCACCCTCTTCCAAGTGCACCATGCTGCAGGCAGGAGACCTAGGAACTGAGTCTCCAGCCTCTCAAGGAACCGGGAGATCAGGCCATCAGAGTATCAGCCAGCAAAGTCCTAAACTACCAGTCCCTTACAATCCTGTAAGTCCAACCCCACTCCCAACCCCACCCACCATTTAGGGACGCAAGAATTGGAGTCCCCAGCTCCTAGAGGTCCAGGAATGTCAGAGCAGCGTCCCAGCCCCCCAGCCCTCCTTCAGGCTGCTCGGGGTCCCTCCCACCTGCTCGGCCAGCTGCGCAGCGTGGGAACGCCCCAGCTGGGCTGCATGGAGCCGTCAGGACAAGCTGCGTGGTTCCCAGCCTCCCTGCCTGCCCGGGCCCGGCACCGGCACCGTCGCCTCCCAGCCGTCGCCCGGCAACCAGGCCGAGGGGCCCAGCAGGCCCAGTGGGGAGAGGGGCTGGGTCGGGACTGCGGGGTCCTGGGAAAGGAGGGGCCGGGGGCCTGGATTCCTGGGTCTTAGAACACGCTGCAGTTTGCAGCAGTTACAAGGGAACAGAGGGATATTTTGAGGACGGATTTTGAGGCTGGGGGAGTCGAGACAGGGGTCCCAGCTGTCCCCCAGGCACTGGCATGCCCTCTTCCCGACCCGCAGGCCCGGGGCAGGCCCGGGGGAGCCCCTGACCCCGCCTCCCCCAGGACGCGGATACTGGCGAGGCCCCAGGGGCTTCCATTTATAGCTCGGTTTCCACTGAGTGCAGTCCCTCCAGGACCTGGGCTAAGCAAGTTTCTTCCACTCTCTCCCTTCCCTCCTCCTCACCCCCATGCCTGCCCCCCAACCCCGGCAGCGCGCAGATGTCCCACCCAGCCAGGACCCCCTCCTCGAATCCAGGTGTTCCGGCTCCCAGACCCCAATTGAGCTGGGGGCGCCCTCCCGCCGGGGACCCCGCCCTGCGTCCTCCATTCTTCGGGTCCGGGCCGCGGGAGTTTGTCAATGGGAAGAGGGCGGAGCTCCAGGGGGCGGATCGGGGCGGGACGAGCAGGACCGGGCCCTCCTGGGGTCTCCCAGAGACCCAGGGCGCGGGACTGGCAGAAGTTTCGGAGCGTCACAGGCGGCAGATGAGCAGCCTTGGAGGACTCCAGGCCAGAAACAGGGGTTCTCTAGGCTAGGGCGAAGAGTCGAGCGCGAAGGGGGCTCCAGACCAGGGTGACAGGAGGCGTGCTTCCGAAAAAGAAGTTGGCGGGGAGGCCCTTACGACGGCAAATCTCGTAAACCTTGGGAGACACACGCTCAGGATGCGGGGCCCCGCCCTCCTCATCCTCCTCATCTGCTTCAGAGGGCGCGCAGGTACCTCGCGAGGGGATCAGAGGAATATGGGGTGTGGGGAGGGGTTGCTTGCGGACTGCCGCTTCACTAGGGAGAAAGGGGCTGGGGCTGGAACTCCTGGATCCTGAATGAGGGGGCTCTAGAAGGTGCTAGGCTCAGCCCTGCTGCCCCCCCATTCTCCTAGGCCCGTCGCCCCATTTCCTGCAACAGCCGGAGGACCTGGTGGTGCTGCTGGGGGAGGAGGCCAGGCTGCCGTGTGCTCTGGGCGCCTACCGGGGGCTGGTTCAGTGGACTAAGAGTGGGCTGGCCCTAGGGGGCCAACGGGACCTGCCAGGTAAGGCTGTTCTCTCCACGCTGGGACGGGCCGGCTAGGAGTGGAGGTCCTAGGCTCGGCTGTATCTGAAGTTTCTATTTTGACATTTTCAAGTTTGGGAAATGGATGGGCTCGGGTAAACATTTAGAACTCCTGATTTTTGAGCTGTTTCTTTGGGGGTGAGAATAGAGTTTGAGAATTATCATGTTATTGTGAAATAATACATAGGCCACATGCGGTAGCTCACACCTGTAATCCCAGCGCTTTGGGAGGCTGAGGTCAGAGGGTCACTTGAAGCCAGGAGTTTGAGACCAGTCTGGGCAACATAGCAAGACCTTATCTCTACTCTGTGTATGTGTGTGTGTGTGTGTGTGTACATAAACAAATTAGCTGGGCGCAGTGGTGTGCATCTGTAGTCCTAGTCAGGAGGCTGAGGTGGGAGGCTTGCTTGAGCCCAGGAGTTCAAGGCTACAGTGAGCCATGATCAAGCCACTGCAAGGTCTCACCATTGCTCATCAAATGGCTCATCACTGTGGCCATGCTTAAGCCACTGCACTCCAGGCAATGGCAAGATGGAAAGAGAGAAAGAGAGAGAAGGGGAGAAGGGGAGAGAGAGAGAGAGAGAGAAAACATAAATGCAAAAAAGTACAGTAAACAAATAAAAGACACTCACACAGCCAATACTCAAGTCCATTCATTGCTAGCTCCCCAGAAGCTCCCCAAAAATATTCCTTTCCCCTGTCACAGCACGCCTCCCCCTCACTCCAGAAGTACTATCTAACTTTACTTTTATGGCAATCATTTTCTTGCTTTCCTTTCTGACTTTATTACCCCCAAGTTTGCAGTGACTCTAGGTTAGGAGGAAGTTAGAGCTTCTCCGGGCCCAGTACACAGTTTCTAATAGTGTCTTACCACCAAGGGTGTGAGCCAGTTTTCCAGTGGGGGATGTCTAGGGGTTGGAGACCTGAGGCCAGGATCTCAGAACCATGGCATGCTGACTGCATCCTCTCTGACTCCAGGATGGTCCCGGTACTGGATATCAGGGAACGCAGCCAAAGGCCAGCATGACCTCCATATTAGGCCTGTGGAGCTAGAGGATGAAGCATCATATGAATGTCAGGCTACACAAGCAGGCCTCCGCTCAAGACCAGCCCAACTGCACGTGCTGGGTGAGGACCTCACCCACTTGTCCACTGGGAGCCCAAGGGGGCAGCCAGTACTAGCTGGGAGTTTCAGAGCCCAGGGAGCCCATGGGAGTGGTCAATTGGAGCTGAGAAGATCAGGATCCATCTCTGACCCCAAATCCACCTTGCAGTTCCCCCAGAAGCCCCCCAGGTGCTGGGCGGCCCCTCTGTGTCTCTGGTTGCTGGAATTCCTGCAAACCTGACGTGTCGGAGCCGTGGGGATGCCCGCCCTACTCCTGAATTGCTGTGGTTCCGAGATGGGGTCCGGTTGGATGGAATCACCTTCCATCAGGTCAGATCCAAATTCCTGTTCTAGCCTTTGCCCATTCAGGGATACTTGGGATCCACTCTAACCACAGGCTCATCCAGAGGAGAAGAAGACATGGGAGGGCAGGGGTTCAAGGGTTTGGACTTTTGGAATATGATGCAGGGGAAAGATTCTAGAGCCAGACTACCTAGGTTCAAATCATGGCTCAGCCACTTGCTACTTGACTGATCTATTAAGTTAGTTAACCTCTCTGTGCCTCAGTTGCCTTATCTATACAATTGGGATAATAATAGCATGCATGTCACAGGGTATTGTGAGAATTAAATAAATACCCATAAATGCCCAGAAGAGTGCCCAACACATAGTGAGCACTATATAAGTAAGGCAAGTTTGTCCAACCTGTGGCCCATGGGTCTGGACTCCCACATGAGGCCCAACACAAATTGGTAAGCTTTCTTAAAATATTATGAGACTTTTTTTTTGTAATTTTTTAGCTCATCAGCTATCATTAGTGTTAGTATGTGTGGTCCAAGACAATTCTTCTTCCAATGTGGTTCAGGGAAAGCCAAGAGATTGAACACCCCCGATATAAGGGGTAGATGGTATTATTATTGTTATCCATCCCTCCAGACCCTGCTGAAGGAAGGGACCCCTGAGTCAGTGGAGAGCACCTTAACCCTGACTCCTTCCAGCCATGATGATGGAGCCACCTTGGTCTGCCGGGCCTGGAGCCAGGCCCTTCCCGCGGGAAGGGACACAGCTATCACACTGAGCCTGCAGTGTGAGTGCAGCCAGCCCTGGGAAAGAGGGGTGTGGGGCCCTGACTCCTGGGTATGAGGAAGGAGAGGACTGTGGCCCCTGGGGAACCAGGAAACTGGAGCCTGGACCCTGGATCTAAAAGAGCAGGAGAGGACCGGGTATGGTGGCTCATGCCTGTATTCCCAGTACTTTGAAAGGCCACAGTGGGCGGATCACCTGAGGTCGGGAGTTTGAGACCAGTCTGGCTAACATGTTGAAATCCCGTCTCTACTAAAAATACAAAAATTAGCTGGGCGAGGTAGCACATGCCTGTAATCCTAGCTACGTGGGAGGCTGAGGCAGGAGAATCCCTTGTACCTGGGAAGCAGAGGTTGCAGTGAGCCAAGATAGTGCCACTGCACTTCAGCTTTGGTCACAAAGTGAGACTCTGAGCAGGAGAGGACAGATGGCTGGGGTCCCTGGAGAAAGAGGAAGCTGGGCCTAGACTCCCACATCTGGGAGAGTAGGAGAGGACAGAAGGCTGGCACATTGGGGTACCTGGAGGAACTTGGAACTGAAAGCCTAGACTCCTGGCTCAAAGAAAGAAGGGGACTACGAGCCTAGACTCCTGGGGTGGAGGAACTAGGGACTGGACCCCTAGGCCAGTGACAGAGGTGTTCCTGGTCCTGACCATCGTCCCACCCTCACAGACCCCCCAGAGGTAACTCTGTCTGCTGAGCCACACACTGTACAGGAGGGAGAGAAGGTCACTTTCCTGTGTCACGCCACAGCCCAGCCTCCTGTCACAGGCTACAGGTGAGGACCAAGACCACCTCTCCCCAGCCCCAAGACGAGCTTGGGAAGGGCTGGGACCAGAGTAGGTGTGCGGGAGAGCAGGGACAACACTAACTGCGCCACCACTTCCTCAGGTGGGCAAAAGGGGGCTCCCCGGTGCTCGGGGCCCGCGGGCCAAGGTTGGAAGTCGTGGCAGATGCCTCGTTCCTAACTGAGCCCGTTTCCTGCGAGGTCAGCAACGCCGTGGGTAGCGCCAACCGCACCACTGCGCTGGATGTGCTGTGTGAGTGGGGGCAGGGCTGTGGGTGTGGTCAAATGTGGGTGTGATTTTCAGGGCTGTTGGGGCGGCACCTGGAGGGGCGGGGCCGGGAGAGTGGGCGTGGATTATTAGGAGGAGGAGAAGCGTGTGAATTTGGGGCTTATTCTTGCGCCCTAGAGGGTGTCGTGTTTCTGTGGGGCTGATCCCGGGTCAGGGGCTGCATGCTGCCCTGGCCATGTGACCCCTCGTCTCCCTCGTCCAGTTGGGCCGATTCTACAGGCAAAGCCGGAGCCCGTGTCGGTGGACGCGGGGGAAGACGCTTCCTTCATCTGTGCCTGGCGCGGGAACCCGCTTCCACGCGTAATCTGGACCCGCCGCGGTGGCGCGCAGGTGCAAACCTAAATCTGAGGCAGTAGCTAGCGGGGAACCGGGTTTCCTTGCAAATCCGGCTTCTGACGCACCTTCCCTGTCGCAGGTGCTGGGCTCTGGACCCACGCTGCGCCTTCGGTCGGTGGGGCCCGAGGACGCAGGCGACTATGTGTGCAGGGCTGAGCCTGGGCTCTCGGGCCTGGGGGGCGGCGCCGCGGAGGCTCGCCTGACCGTGAACGGTGAGAAGGCGGGGCTTCCTAGGGCACCTGGCGGGCCCTTGGATTGGGAGTGGACTGGGGGACCAGGCCTAATACAGTGGGAGTGGCCTGGAAAGAGCTTTACACCCAGCGGGGCATGGAGACTGGACCTAACGAAGGCGAGGCTTTTAGGGGAATCTGAGTTTGGAAACGGCGTGGCCTGATTGGATGAGAGTGCCTTGGCCCGGCCCGGCTTTGTTACAGTCTTTGGGGCAAGATCTCTCCTGAGTGACCCATTGTCTCCATCCCAGCTCCCCCAGTAGTGACGGCCCTACACTCTTCGCCTGCCTTCCTGAGGGGTCCCGCCCGCCTCCAGTGTCTGGTTTTCGCCTCTCCCGCCCCAGACGCTGTGGTAAGGAAATGTCACTCCACTCGTGACCCATCCAGCCGTGATCCCTGACCTCCCACCTGGCCCTCCGAAACTGCTGTGACCGTCTCTGACTTCCCAGACATCACTCCCCCTTCTTCCCCCACTCCTCAGTCTCCTCGATGTCCTCCCTCTTTTGTGCCCCCAGGTCTGGTCTTGGGATGAGGGTTTCCTGGAAGCAGGGTCTCGGGGTCGCTTCCTGGTGGAGACATTCCCTGCCCCGGAGGGCCATGAGGGACAGGGTCCAGGCCTGATCTCTGTGCTACACATTTCGGGGACCCAGGAGTCTGACTTTAGCAGGAGCTTTAACTGCAGTGCCCGGAACCGACTGGGTGAGGGAGGTGCCAGGGCCAGCCTGGGCCGTAGAGGTGAGACCCCAGCCTGAAGACCCCAAATCTTGAGTCTAAACCCCACAAATGCAGGGATTCCCCCAACCGAGGGCTGTCAAACCTCAAACCCTCAAATGCAGAGACCTCCAAACCTTGGGAGTCTCAAAACTGTGGACTCATGGATTCCCAGGACCCGCAACCACAAATGCCTTCACATTCTGAATCCTAAACTGAGAGACCCCTCACACTGAGGGGCCCCAAAAAGGGAACCTCCAACGACTGCAAAGCAAATTGCAAAGTAAAGGACCCCTCAAACTCTAAGACTCCCTAAAGCCAGGGAATTTAAACTCACATACTTGAAAAATTCAAAGACCCAAATTCAAGGGTCTTTGACTCTCCAAATGTGAGACGTTTTGAACCCAGGGATCCCAAACTCAGTCCCTGAGCCCCCCCGTTTCCTGGTTCCCCCTCAGCCTTCTCAGGATGCCCCTCTGCTCCCTGCAGACTTGCTACCCACTGTGCGGATAGTGGCCGGAGTGGCTGCTGCCACCACGACTCTCCTTATGGTCATCACTGGGGTGGCCCTCTGCTGCTGGCGCCACAGCAAGGGTCAGTGCCTGAGCCCCGCCCCTGCTCCTCAGTCCCCAACCCCACACACACCGTAACCCCACACACACCCTGCCTGCCCAGTGACCTGACCTGGCCTTGGGCCCTGGCTCCAGTCCTGCAGGTCGCCTTCAGGTTTCTACCCCGGAATCGGGCTTAGCTCTCCTGAGGCCCTAACTCGACCTTCCCAGGGTCACGCTCTTCGGCCTGGGAAGGATTCTCATTGGTTCTCAACAGCCCCACCCGATCCGCCTCGTTGGTTCCCAGTCCTCTCTCTTCCCACTTATTGGTCTGCACACACTGTCACCCCGCCCATCGCTAACTCCGCCCCTCTCTAACTCCGCCCCTCGCTGTTCGTCAGCCTCAGCCTCTTTCCCGGAGCAGAAGAACCTGATGCGAATCCCGGGCAGCAGCGACGGCTCCAGTTCGCGAGGACCCGAGGAAGAGGAGATGGGCAGCGGAGAGGACCGGGTAGGATGCCAGGGTCCCCAGACACTACCGTGTCTCCAAACCCAAGTAATAGCCCAGTCCCAAGAGGGCCCCCAAACTCAAATAGGGCCCTAAGGCTGGGCGTGGTGGCTGCCGCCTGTAATACCATTTTGGGAGGCGGAGACACTAGGATCACTTAAGGTCAGGAATTAAAAGCCGGCCTGGGCAGCATAGGGGGACTTCATCTCTACAAAAATACAAAATAAAATAAAAAATGAACCGGGTATGGTGGCATACGCCTATAGTCCCAGCTACTCAGGACACCGAAGTGGGCCTGGAGAGGCAGCAAGGAGCTATGATTGCACCATACACTCCAGGCTGGGCGACAGAGCAAGACCCTGTCTCTATGAATTTTTGTTGTTTTGTTTTTTGTTTTTTTGACAGAGTCTCACTCTATCACCCAGGCTGAAGTGCAGTGGCACAATCTCGGCTCACTGCAACCTCCACCTCCCTGGTTCAAGCGATTCTCCTGCCTCAGCCTTCCAAGTAGCTGGGATTACAGGCACCTGCCACCACACCCAGCTGATTTTGTATTTTTCGTAGAGATGGAGTTTCCCCATGTTAGCCAGGCTGGTCTCGAACTTCTGACCTCAGGTGATCCACCCGCCTCGACCTCCCAAAGAGCTGGTATTACAGGCATGAGCCACCATGCCCAGCCTGAGGGCTCTAGTCTTAACAATGACCCCAAACTCCAATGTCACCCAAGTCCATTCCCCTGACCCAGTTATTCCCTAGGCCTAGTATATCCCCACAGCCACCCCACCTTTTTTTTTTTTTTTTTTTTTTGAGACAGAGTCTTGCTCTGTCGTCCAAGCTGGAATGCAGTTGTATGATCCCGACTCACTGCAACCTCTACCTCCCAGTTCAAGTGAGTCTTGTTCCTCAACTTCCTGAGTAGCTGGAATTACAGGCACCCCCCACCTGTAACAATGCCTGGCTAATTGTTGCATTTTTAGTAGAGGTTTCGCCATGTTGGCCAAGCTGGTTTCAAACTTCTGGCCTCAGCTGATCCTCCCACCTCGGCCTCCCAAAGTGCTGGGATTACAGGCATGAGCCACTGACTAGCCTCCTATAACCCTTTTATTGTTCTGAGTGCAGTCCCCAGCTCTGGTGCTCTTACTGTCTCCTGCCAGGCTCCCACTGGCTGGCTGAAGGTCCTTGGAGTCTGGCATTGGGGTGGGGGGATCCTCTGATTATTTCCTCTCACTAAGTTCCCTACCCCAGGGCCCCATTGTGCACACTGACCACAGTGATCTGGTTCTGGAGGAAGAAGGAGCTCTGCAGACCAAGGTGAGTGTTGGGTGGGGCGGAGCTCCCTCCTCTGTATCTCCATTTCTCTCCCATGCCTGTCCCCTCCTTTTTCCTTCTGTTGCCCCCAGAACTGGGACCCAGCTCCTCATCCCCCTCCTCCTACCCCTGGGCCATCTTACCCAGCTCCCAGCTTCAGTTTGCCTATCTGTGGACTCTGCTCACACATCTGTCCCAGCCCCAGCCTCCATCCCAAGCCCAGACTGGGGCTCGCTCTGCCTGTGCTCTCCTCATCACTATCAAACCCCTTTCAGCCACCAGGTCCTACACTGGCCCCACATCTTCCCAAACCTGTCCTTCCTCTGGGGTCCTATCTCATTGACCCTAGCCCATCTCCAGGCCGGAGCACTCCTCTCTCTCCTCTGCACATACCATGTACCTAGCACATGCCATTCTTTTCCTCTTTTTTTTGAGATGCAGTCTTGATCTGTTGCCCAGGCTGAAGTGCAGTGGCACAATCTCAGCTCACTGCAACCTCCACCTCCTGGGTTCAAACCATTTTCCTGCCTCAGCCTCCCAAGTAACTGGCTAATTTTTTTTTTTTTTTTTTTTTTTTTTTTTGTATTTTTGATAGAGATGGGGTTTTACCATGTTGGCCAGGCTGGTCTCGAACTTCTGAGCTCAGATGATCCACCTGCCTCAGCCACCCAAAGTGCTGTGATCACATGCATGAGCCACCACGCCCAATGAACATGTCATTCTCTTAGCCCGAAACACTCCTACTTTCCTTTCCATGTCTACCTAATTCCCTCCGTTATTCCTCCGGTCTCAGCTCAAACATTTCTTGCCCTAGGAAGCCCGTGCTTCTGTCATGACAGCCCAATCATTCTGCCTGTGTTCTGCCCATCACAGCCATGACCAGTTTGACCTGGGCTTCCCTATCCCACCCACTATGCTAAGGGCTCCCCAATCACAGCCCCTGTCCGTGCCTATGCCTTTCCCAGGCACAGCCCTGACCCCTCTGGGTGCTATCTCATGATTTGTCATTTTTCCCTTGGTGTGGGATCTCTGTGAGGACAGGGTCCACTTCTATCCTAGTGACATGTCTTGCAGCAGCAACAGAGGGTGTGACACTGAATCAAAGCCTAGGGGCTGTTGGGCAGGCGAGTGCCTCTGTCCTGTTCCCTCTGCACCTTCCACACTGACACCCCCTCTCTGCCCACTCCTGTCTCTTTTCATCTCTCTCAAGTTCTGGTCTATTTCAGTGTGTCTCTCCATCAGTGACCCTTCCCCCCACCACCACCCCGAACGCTCACACACCTAACTGAGCCCCATTTGTCCCCTCAGGACCCAACTAATGGTTACTACAAGGTCCGAGGAGTCAGTGTGAGCCTGAGTCTTGGCGAAGCCCCTGGAGGAGGCCTTTTCCTGCCACCCACCTCCCCCCTTGGGCCCCCAGAGACCCCTACCTTCTATGACTTCAACCCACACCTGGGCATAGTCCCCCCCTGCAGACTGTACAGAGCCCGGGCAGGCTACCTCACCACACCCCACCCTCGGGCTTTCACCAGCTACATCAAACCCACATCCTTTGGACCCCCAGATCTGGCCCCCGGGACTCCCCACCTCCCGTATGCTGCCTTCCCCACACCTAGCCACCCGCGCCTCCAGACTCATGTGTGACACCTCTGTAATGGAAGAGGCCTGGGATCTCCAACTTGCCATAACGAAGTGTCCTGATTTCTGAGTAGCCAGAACAAGTTGGCAATCTTACTACTCTAAAATTGAACACTTGGGGGAGGGAAGGATCATGACAATTGCCAGGAGCATTGGGGATAGTCAGCTCAGCCAAAGGGGATGCCCCAAGTGGAAGCAACATGACCGCCCAATATGCCCACCTATTCCCTGGTGTAAAAGAGATTCCAGATGGCAGGTAGGCCCTTTGACTAGAGAGAGGGACAGGGCAGCAGGTGTTGAGAGTTTGGGGCAGAGATGGGAGTTGTTTCTAGCCACTGAAAGAAGATATTTCAAGATGACCATCTGCATTGAGAAGAAAGGTCGCATAGGATAGATGAAGATGAAGAGCATACCAGGCCCCACCCTGGCTCTCCCTGAGGGGAACTTTGCTTGGCCAATGGAAGTGCAACCAAGATGACCATACACTCCCTAGGAACCGAAGATGGCCACCATCTTGATTCCACTTTCCTTAAAGACTTAGAAAAGGGTGCGTGCCTGTAATCCCAGCTACTCAGGAGGCTGAGGCAGGAGAACCCTTGAACCTGGGAGGTGGAGGTTGCAGTGAGCCAAGATCGTGCCATTGCACTCCAGCCTGGGCAATAAGATTGAAACTCCATCTCAAAAAAAAAAGACTTAGAAAGACTTGGACCCAAGGAGTGGGGATGCGGTGAGAATTATCACTGTGGGGGCAAAGGGGAATCTCTGGATAAAAATATTTATGTTTAATAATAAAGAAAAGTCAAAGAGGCAAATGTGTCTTAGGGAGTCTACTGGCATTATTACCCTCCATCAAGGAAGGGTCCATTAGACCTGTCCCAAGGTCCCTCCTCTACGCTAGCCTATGAGGTGGCTGTAGGAGTAAAACTGTGAGCCACCTGTCAGTCTCTTGCTACCTGCAAAGTACTCTAGGCTTTTTTTTTCTTCTTGAGACAAGGTCTGGCTCTATGACCTAGGCTGGAGTGCACTGGCATAATCTCAGCTCACTGCTACCTCCGCATCCTGGGCTCAAGCCATCCTTCCACCTCAGCCTCCCAAGTAGCTGGGACTACAGGTACATGCCACCACATCCGGCTATTTTTTCTATTTGTTTGTAGAGACAGTGTTTCACCATATTGGCCAGGCTAGTCTTGAACTTGTGAGCTCAAGTGATCAGCCTATCTCAGCTTCCCAAAGTGCTGGATTACAGGCATGAGCCACCACACCTGGTCTAGGCTCTTTTATTTTATTATTATTATTTTTCGAGATGGAGTCTCAGTCTGTCACCCAGGCTAGAGTGCGGTGGTGTGATCTTGCCTCAAAACAACTTCCACCTCCCGTGCTTCAAGTGATTCTTCTGTCTCAGCCTCCCAATAGTTGGGATTACAGGCACCCGCCACCACGCCTGGCTAATTTTTGTATTTTTAGTAGAGATGGAGTTTCACCATGTTGGCCAGGCTGGTCTCAAACTCCTGACCTCAAGTGATTGGCCCAGTTAGGCCTCCCAAAGTGCTGAAATTACAGGCGAGAGCCGCTGTGCCTGACCATGGGCTTATATACATCTTCACACACACACACACACACACACACACACACACACACACACACAAGCTGCAAACAGAAACAGACACACACATGGGCATGTATGCACAGACACACAAACAGATGTCCACACAGTTGCATACATGTGACAGGGCTGCCCCAGAGGTTCTGGAGAAGACAGAATACTACACTCTCATTAGAGGAGGCAAACAAGTGAGCCCTGAAGGGGGGCAGGGAAGGGGAGACTATGGGTAGGAAAATGACAATCCCCTGGTCCTTACAGCAAGGGTGGAGGTCCAGACCCTAATCCTGAGGCGCTGCATCCACAGTGGGCATGATGCTGGTGTCTGCTTAGGTGATCCTTAAAGAAAGGTCCTGGGGGCTGTGGTTCATGGATCCTTGAGCTAGGAGTTAAAGGTACACGCCCCTGGGACCCTTGGGAAGCAGAGCAGGAAGACTGAACTCCTGGGTCTGAGGGAGAATGTCCTGGGGGCTTGGTCTCTGGTCCTGAGAGAAGGAACCTAGTGCCCTGACTCCTGGATCTGAAAGAGGAGGGGACTGGGTCTCACCCTCCCCTGCTGCCTTCTTGATTGGGGACATTTTGGAGACCTGTATTCCTGAGCCCTTAACAGAGGAATTTACTGGGGTACGAGGGTCGCCGACGCTTGCATCCTTGGAGGACAAAACTGATTGTGTGTATCTGGGTCTAAGAGGGTGAAAGTCCTGCGAGATGGTTCAAAATCCACAACGGGCGGAGCCCGTAGCCGGACTCCTGGCTGAGCCCTTCAAGGGGCGGGACCCCTGGAATCTCGAGGGGCGGGGGCCTGGCGCAGGCTCCCGCCTGGGGTTCCCGAGCTGTTCCACTCTGTGCGGAGCCGCCACGCTATTGTCCTGGCCAGGAAGGCGGGGCCGGCGCGGGGCGGGGCTGGCGGCGCCGGCGCAGCCCGGGGGCGGCGGGAGGAGGAAGTGGCGGCGGTGGCTCTGGGAGCTCCTGTCACCGCTGGGGCCGGGCCGGGCGGGAGTGCAGGGGACGTGAGGGCGCAAGGGCCGGGACATGGGGCCCGCCAACCCCGCTGCTAGCTGTCTGGGTCGCCGCCGGGGCCAGCCGCCGCTGCCGCTGCTGCTGCCACTATTACTGCTGCTTCTGCGCGCGCATCCCGCCGTCGGGAGCCTGGCCGGTGGGAACCCCGGCGCGGCCGAGGTGAGGCCGGGCCGGGTCCTGGGGGATGGGGAAGGGGCGGGACCGGGCCTCTGGACGCCGGCGCGGACATGTCCAGGGCCGAAAGCGCGGTCTTTCCAGCCTGGTGGTCAGCCCCCAGGCGCCCCCCAAACGCATTTACGAACTCAGGGCTCCAGGCCCCAGCTCCCCCATCATCTGACGTCCCAGCCCCCTCCCACTCCGGGCATAGGAGCTGCTCTATTTACAGCCCTTGGTCCCAGAAGTCCAGCCCCTCTCCAGACCCAGGTGACTCGGCCCCAGCCCCCTCCCGCCTGGACATAGGACCCACCAAGCAGTGAGGCACTTAGATCCAAAAATCCAGACCCCTTGTATCCTCTGGACCCATATGGGGGGCCCTCGCAGCCTCCCAGGACCCAGGACTTCAGTCCTCCAGTCACCACCCACCCCAACCAGATGTAGCTCCCTAGTCCTCAAGGGCCTGGTGTCCAGGACTGCAGGCCCCTGAAGCCAGGCCTTGTCAGCTTTGCACCCTGCAACCGGAGCCTGAGCAGGGGATGGAGGGAGGAGGGGACAGAACGCCTGGGTTCTGGCCTCCTCCGCGATTCAGGTTTAACCCCTTCCGTCTCCAGCGCGACTGCACTGGGGTGGGGGCGGAGTCTGTCTCCGCGGCAACAAGGCCGAGAGAATCCCGGAGGACTCGGGTAGCGATAGCAACGGGAGAGCTGGGGCGCCCCCGCCCTACGGGAGCTGTTTCCCAGGGAACCGTGCCTCCATGGAGGCGGGTGTGCGATGCTTGGGGGGAGGTGGCTGGTTCTGGAGGTCTCGGTCCCAGGGAGTAAAGAACCAGAGGACCCTCGTGCCAACGTCCCCCGGGCCCTCACTGTCCCCTCCTCCACTTCCATCCAGGCCCCAGGGTCAGCCCAGGTGGCTGGACTATGCGGGCGCCCAACCCTTCACCGGGACCTGCGCACCGGCCGCTGGGAACCAGACCCACAGCGCTCTCGGCGCTGTCTCCGGGACCCGCAGCGCGTGCTGGAGTACTGCAGACAGGTGGGTGGGGCCGAGCGGGAGGGGCAGGGCTATCGGAAAGTGGGCCCCAAATGGGGCGGGGCCGCCCTTAGAAAGCTAGACTTGCAAAAGGCGTGGTCCAAGGTGCTGCACGATCTAAGGCGTGGGGACTGGGGGGCGTGGCCAACAAAGAGGCTCCGCTACGCCAGGGCAGGGAACCTGTTTTGAGATACTAAGTCAGGAAAGTGGGGAGAACCGCGAGATGGCTAGAGAAGTGGGGCTTAGCAATCTGGTGGTCTTCGTAAAAAGTAGAGGTGTAGTGGGGAGTGGCGAAAGGAGAGGCGGGGCTAAGATAAAAAGACCTTAAAGACCAGCAAGATGGGGAAAGAGGTGGAGCCCAATGAAAGCGCGGAGAGCTGGGAGGCGTGGCTATGAAAAGCCTGGACTCTGTAAAGGGAAGAGTTTTGGAGAGGCGGAACAGATAAAAAGGTGGGGCCCCAAAGGAGGGTGAGACCTGGGGAGACAAACCTGACTGCGGGGAGGAGTAACCAAAGAGGTGGGCTTAGACCGACCTTCGGAAAGAAACAGCACAGGAAAAGGGATAAGCCTTAAAGATGACGGGACTTTTAAAGGAAAACTGCTAGTGGGCGTGGCCAATGGGCACGAGGGGCTTGGATATCTAAGGCTGGTGCTTTGGAGAGGCAGGGTCGAGGAAGGCGATGTCCTCATGAATATTAGAGCCTTGAAAAGGGACCTGGCCAGGCGCGTTGGCTCACTCCTGTAATCGCAGCACTTTGGGAGGCTGAGTGGGGTGGATCACCTGAGCTCAGGAGTTCGAGACCACCCTGGCCAACATGGAGAAAACTCATCTCTACTAAAAATGCAAAAATTGGCCGAGCATGGTGGTGCGTGCCTGTAATCCCAGCTACGCAGGAGGCTGAGGCAGGAGAACCTCTTGAACCTGGGAGGTGGAAGTTGCAGTGAGCCGAGATTACACCATTGCACTCCAGCCTGGGTGACAAAAGCAAAAACTCCCTTTCAAAAAAAAAAAAGGACCTGGCCAGTGGAGAGGGGTGCCTGGCAGGGGCGGGGCAGTGGACTGATTGTTCCCACCTGATCCCCCCAGATGTACCCGGAGCTGCAGATTGCACGTGTAGAGCAGGCTACTCAGACCATCCCCATGGAGCACTGGTGCGGGGGTCCCCGGAGCGGCCACTGCGCCCACCCCCACCACCAGGTTGTGCCCTTCCACTGCCTGCGTGAGTCCATGTGGCTAGGGGTTGG